CACGTGGGAAAGAGGGAGGGACACACACACACACACACACATACCTACTAGTTAACTAACCCCCTATCTATAAATTATATACATATATAGATATCCAACCCCCAACTCTCAAACACTCTGATATACAGCCTCAGCACACACACCCACACAGACATCTTGGACTAAAAACATAATACCCTGCACAAACAATAGTGCTTCGCCCTCTTGCAATCCACCCTTGGCCCCCCCAAACCCCACCCCCCCACCCCCCCACCCGCAGAAAAGAAACAGGAGATCCTGGAAATACAATAGCCTAAGAGTATTTGCGAAAAGAGAAAGAAAAACACACACCGTCCGGAAAAAAAACAAAAAAAGAACGCAAATACGACAAAAACCTCCAAACGTCAAACAAGCCCGCACGACAAGTGCAACCCCGCCCACTATGCACAGAAAATCGGTCGAAAACCAAAAGGCTTGGCAGAAAAAACGTGATAGAAAACACGAGCAAAGGACCCCGACAAAACACTACCCCCCGTAAAAAAGCAAACCCCAACAACCCCTACAGAAGATATCACACTCACTATCACGAAAAACCAACTCTGCAGACCCATGGTCCGCCAAAAAATATTTTCTTCCCCCCCAAAAAAAAACCACCCTCATCAGTACAGAACACGGCCACAAACTGAAACCTCCCGCTCAATACACAAATCCCCGCCCCCCTGCAGCTCAAAGTTCATATTTTAGAACACCTGATACACAGACAGCGCCCTCTCTCTATCAGCAATCCTGTCGCCAGACTTGCGCAATCTGCACAACTCCGACGCGACTTACCTCCGTACTAGCAACTGCGGCCCGACGAAGCCCACCTGGTGATAGCAGATCCTGGGCACACAACGTGACCAGAATCCATCCTAGGCCTGACACCGCACTACGTCTACATGCGCTCACCAAGACTGCTCCTTTGAAGATGGCAGCGATGGCTTCAGCGAATGACAGACACGTCACTGATGCAGAGATCAACACACACGCGGTAATTGTGACACATACCTATTCACCCCCTACTCATCTCCCACTACTTCAAACCCCCTATATCCTACGTTCTGCCTTACACCTCATACTATACGCCCATCACACACCTGAACCCSCTCCACGCAACACCTCCCAACTATCACCCGCAACTCCTACACCTCATATGCACCCACCACTATCACCTAAACTCACTGCTTGGGCCGCCCCTACTCCCCTGGCGATTGGGCCTGTTGATAAGAAGCCACCCATACTTGCAGTCTACTCTCGTCCTTTTTCCCTCTGATGAGCCGTTTGGCGCAAATGGCGAAAAGCGCTTCAGGGATGCGCCACCCTCCTTCCTCGATCTGGAGATCGGTCCTGTCGAAGAAGGTTCTCCTTCTCCTTCTCCTTCTCCTACCTCCTTCTCCTCAGCTTCCTTTTGGTCCCTCTTCCCCTACCCCTCCTTCCTTTCCCCCTCTCCCCCCTGGTAAAAGGTAAATGGCATTGTGATAATAGGAGAATGTGAGCTATGGCTGTAGGTGTACAATGGTGACCCATGGGATTAGATAGCATGATGCTTTGCTTGTTTTGTGACTTTGCATGCTATTCGTCTCATTACTGTTCCTGGCTAGGCCAGGTTGTGCAATTGCTTTGCAATTTGTTTCACAAAACGCGCACACACACACACACACACACACACACACACACCACCAATCAGAAAAAATGAAAAAAGAAAGAGCTCCTGTTTTTTGTTGTATTTCTTTTGATTTTAATACTTGCTTTTTTCGTTCTCTATTTTTTTTTTAAATCCCCCAAAACATCAAAATCCAAAAAAAAAAGTATGGGGATGTAGGGAATTTCAAACCCTATAAACCCATATTTTTTATTTATTTTTTGGCCTATTATTCTATTTTTTTTAAATCACGTTTTTTTTTGGCCGCGGTTGGCCCCCGCGGCTGCCCCCCGTGGGCATGACCATGACTGCGTGTGGTAAAATGGCCCGCGGTCATGACCGCGGGTGATACATAGGTTTCAGCATCAATTCTTCATCCTAACATTCTTCAAACCTCTCCTCAATCACCTCCTTGCCATACTCACTATCTTCCTTCTTTCTTGCAACAAACACCGAGACGTCATCCATCAGGCACATCCCACCACCCTACTCCTCCTGTCACCCAGGGGCGACAGAAACTCATACTCAGCTTTCATGCATAGGATACATGCCAACAAGGGGCTCAAGGTCTTCCCATTGCCATTTGGTATCCCTATCACCTGCTTCAGTATCACTCCCGTAGCCCTCGTGTAGGTATGCTCAAGTTCAAAAGCGCCCCCCGCCCCCCCCCCCTCTCCCCCTTTTCACCACACAGCACTGCTGAAGACTTGAAATTATGAGCTCAGCCACGAATGCAAGTGTAAAAGAGACAAACTTGCATGAGGGTAGGCATCTATTTGTCTGTTCTAACCTCAGTCTCAGTCACCAAATTTGGCGGACAACAGAATAGCTCGGGTGAGGAGTCTGAGGACTGTCGAAAAAGACGAAGTTGCAGGCCTTTCTCTGACAACTTCGTCTTTTTCGACAGTCCTCAGACTCAAAAAGACTCCAAATCCTTTCTCTGACAACTTGGGAATTGTAGTGTGCTCAAAAGGAGATGTCCAAAAGAGAAGGGATGCAGTGTGCTCAAAAGGAGGTGTCCAAAAGACTCCAAATCCTTTCTCTGACAACTTGGGAATTCTTTTGCCGTCTCGGATTTATATTTTTATTTTTTGCAGTAAGTTCGGTTGTGGCACAAATGAGTTTGGAAAGGGCAACAAAATCACACAGGCAGGCAACAAATTCGCACTCTGAGTTTGAAAGGGCAACAAAAGCATTTTTGCCCGCTCGCCGAGCTTAAAGGGGGCAACAAACCCGCACAGTGAGTTCGAAAAGGACAAAAAAAAATCACACGTGGGCCACAGCCATTTTTACCTATATTGCTCTTTTCAAAGTGCGCACCCAATGTTGTTGCCCACAAGGGCCACAGCCGCAAGTGTTTGTTTTGCCCTTTTTTTTTTTTTTTTTTTGCCGACTTGCCACAGCCGCAAGTGTTTGTTTTGCCTTTTTTTTTTTTTTTTTGCCGACTTGGATATAGGCAGACTGTGTGGCGAAGAGAAACTGTACAAAATCCTTCTTTTGACAGTGCTGTTGTGACTCTGGTGAGCCCCACAGTAAAAAATGCCAGATGAGGATTTGACAGTCACACTGGTGTGTTGAAAATGCCTTTTTCCGACGGTGACAGTGGTGTCGAAACCCTTTCTCTGACAACCTTTTTTTTTCTTTTTCGTTTTTCTTAAGGGCCCAGTGCCCATGGCTTGTACTTCCAATGGGAAGATTGAGGCCGTGGTCCTCACAGTCGTCCGGGTAACCTGGAAAAGCAAATGAAGTCATGATGATGATGATGATGATGAACTTGTAGGATCTAACTCTTCACCTTTGACGGGGGCCCCAAATCTTCAAAACAGCACTGGTTTATCCTCTCCCACAGTCTGGCTCCTTTGTCCCTAGCTTTTGATAGTGGCACAATTGCCACAATAAACTTTTAGGGAAATTTACTATTTGGGGTCTCGTTAGACACTCCTAAAAGAATCCTAAAATTTTTAGGACGAGTCCTAAAGGTTTTTTAGGATTTCATGCGGCGTCGTTACACGCAGTCCTAAAAATCATGTTTTAGGACTCGTCCTAAAAGGTTTCCCGCGGCCCGTTTTCATATGCGTATACGCAGCCGCGCCGCCGATGTCCGTCCATTCCTGGCCGGTGTCCGTGGTACAGACTGCGGTGGCCCTTGGGCGGGAGTCGACGGATCGATGAAAAGCGCAGTTCCCCAGAACTTCAAAATTTCGAATTCAAATTCTCGCGGAGGCAGGGTGGCTGGGCGGCGCGCGGCCAGGCGACGCGTGTGACGTGAAAAAGACGGCGTCTCCTTACCGTTCGGCGCGCGGATTCGATCTTCCGAGTGTACGCAACTTGTGAGCAGCGGGCGCATCATCGTGTGAGCTGCACGTTCACCTCTGGCGTGCGTGCCGTCCTTTACAAGCGTGGAGCAGCGGGCGCATCTTCGTCTCCTGTGCCATCGCACAACAGCGTTCGCATCTTCAGCTCCGACGTTCTTTGTCCACGAAGGCAGGGTTCCGCAGCGGGCGTGTCTGAGGCGGCTGTCGCAGGCGTGACGCGGCAAACCGTGCGAAGATTGCCAGAGAATGGACAATCACGGCTGCCCAAACGGTCTTCGCGAAGCAGAGATCGACGCCGTGGCGATGGCGGTGACTGTTATCGTCGTGAACACGATGGGCGACATGGAGTCCTCCTCGCCCGACATGCTGATGCGGCTCCGCCAACGAAGAGCGCTGTTGCAGAGCGTTGCCGAGGCGCCGGATTCCGCGGCGACGTGTGAGGCAGTCGTCCAGTTGTGTGCCGCGCTGTCGTCTGGCATTTTCCCACGGGAGACTCCGTGGTGGTGGATTAGACGACCGACTGGCGGAACATGGGAGGACCTCCGGCTTCGCGACGACGCGACGGGCGAGTACTACCGGCAGAAGCTGCACATGTCGACGGCCATGTTCACCCAGATCGTAGCCGCGTGCGCCGCGTGCATGGAGAAGAAGGTGACGCACTACCGAATGTCATTGCCAGTGGAGCAGCTGATTGCTTTCGCGTTATACAAGTGGGCGTCCGGAGAGACGTACGAGAGCGGCATGTCAGCCTTCGGCATCGACAGGGCAACTGGACTGCAGGCCGTCCGCGACGTCACTTCGGCGCTGTTGCAGGCGTACCCCGACGCGATAAAGTGGCCAGTGGGCAGGAGACGTGCGCAGATTCTACGCGCTTTCCGTGAAAAGGGTTTCCCAAACTGCTGCGACGCTATCGGCTGTACACAGATCTACATTGACAAGCCCGCCGGCGCACCTTCCGAGAACTACTACGACCGCAAACAGAAGTTCTCCGTGCAGGCGTACGTGGTTGTGGATTTGGATCTACGGATCCTCGACGTCCACGTAGGATACCGGGGAAGTGTGCACGACGTCCGTGTCCTGCACAATTCCCAATTGTGGAGGCGTGCAGAAAGTGGCGAGCTGTTCGACACAACTCTGGAGAATCTGCCGCACGGTGTCGTCACGCGAGGCTACCTGCTGGGCGACAACGGTTATCCAGTTGCATGTCCGTGGATCGTGCAGCCGTACGGAGGAATCGAGCAAGGTGCTGACGAGGAGCGCCTCGACACGCGGCAAAAGGTGGCACGGGGGTGTGTGGAGAGCTATATTACCGCGCGTTCATTGAACGCGGGTTTCGCGTTGAAGGTATGAACGCATTGAACGCGCGTTCACTGAACGCGGGTGAACGCATTTGACGCGTTCGCGCAGGGGGGTGGGCGGGGTGGGTGGGGCCTTTGGGCAGTGTGGGGAGCGACAACGGTGCTTGGGGGGGCTGTGGGCAGTGTGGGAAGCGGCGGCGGTGCTTGGGGGGGCTGTGGGCCAAAACCCCAGGCGAAACGGGGGAACCCCCCCCCCCCCCAAAAAAACAGTGTGTGTGTGTGAATGTGTGTGTGTGTGTGTGTGATATGTCCTTTTTCTTTTGGAAGGGGGGGGCGTAGGAATCCCCCTAGCATGGCTCAAATGGCCCATGCAGGCAATCTGGAGGGTCCTCGCAGCACTAGAGTGCAACCCCTCCATCACTACAGAGCCAAACAGTGAGTATGAAGTGGAGCACGAGCTGGCTGAATATATCCTCAGGATTCAAGTTGAGGTCTGTGTTTCAGCAGTTATGGGTTGCGTACGTAGGTAGGCCGTGTTGGTCTCGGCACGTGATTCTCAGGGCTTGGCTGCACTACTCACCAAATGTGCAAAACTAGAATGAATCTTCTGCAGAACATGGAATAATACGCAGCCATATGTTTTGTCTTTGTGCATGTGGTGAGTAGAGGCCCTCAGGGCCACTGCATGTATTCCTAAGATTAGTCCCAAGACTTTTTTTTTTTTTAACTATACTCTTCTCTCAATTTTTCCTCACACTACCTACCTACAACTACTCCTACTTGTAGGCATACGGGGAAGCCCGTAGCATACCCAAGACTCGGACAAGGTACCCCTCCAAAAAAAAAAAAAACAGTCACAGCCACTTGGCAATGCCCAAAAAAAAAGAAAATGGTCCACTTGCAAATGAGGATTGGATTTAAGCCCGAATCTGGACGGGTTTGTCGAATGGGGCCGAAAAAAAATACCAGCAATGGATGTGGTTTTCTGCATCTGCGGGTAGGACGCGTCCAGATTCGGGCGCTTAATCCAATCCTCTTTGCTAGAGGAACCT